CTTCAAGGAAGTGAACAAATGGTAATCTGAAGGCACCAGGTCGGGGGAATACGGGGGTGGTTCAAAACATCCCATCCAAATGAGTCCAACAATTGCTTCGTAACATTGACCGAGTGGAGTCTGGCGTTGTCGTGCAGCAGGCAGACCCCGCTCGTTAACAGGCCCCTTCTTTTATTTTCAATAGCTCTCCTCAATTTTTTTAGAGTCTCAAAATACCTTGCTGCATTGATGGTCTTCCCCTGAGGTAAATATTCAATCAAAATGATGCCTCTATGGTCCCAAAACACTGATGCCATGATTTTTTTGGCTGAAATGGTGGCTTTGAACTTTTTGGTTGAGGCCTTGAGGGTGAAGTGGTGTGACGCGACTGTTTGGACTGTCTCTTGGTTTCAGGTGTATAGTGTGCAACCCAAGTTTCATCTCCAGTAACAATAGACTTGAGAAAATTATCACCGTCCAGTTCATAGCGTTCCAAAAATTCTGGATTGCATTCGATTCAACATATGTTGTTTAGTAAGCTGTTTTGGAACCCATCTTGCTCACAGTTTTTGAAATCCAAGTGTTTCTGTGTTTGTTTCGTGGAGTAGAGACCTTGACAGTTGCGGAAACATTGCAGAAAGTTCATCCAGAGTCAGTCTGCAATCGTCACGGACCGAATTCTCGAATTTTTTCACAATGTCGTTAGTCAAAATTGACGATCTCCCACTCCTCAGATCGTCATGTACATTCGTACGGCCATTTTCAAACTCCCTACACCACTTGTATAGACTGGTACGATTGATATGGCCTGCGCCATAAACGGATCGTACCTCATAAGAAATCTCATGTGGAGATTTTTCCTTCGCAAAAAGGTAACGGATAACGGATTTCGCACTTGGTGGCAGACTCGATCGACATGTTTAACAAGAAAAATTTGTGCAACCACAGTACTGAACTCGTTCTGGTCTTATTTTAAAGGTTAGGACTTAAGGAGTAAAGCTATACGGCAGTGTAGCCAACATAGTCAAAAAATATTCCCTATGGCCGTAAGTATACTTAGTCATTACCTCAATACACTTACTTTCTGAACACGCCTCGCATATAGTAGAGTGTACATTTTTAGAGTCATGCGGCTTATGATTATAGTTATTGGATTGTTCGTAAAAAAAATTCTTTACAAAAATATCGTTAAATCAACAACAATTAAACATAGAAACGAAGTGAATTGTTAATAACCGATTTAGTAGTATTTTGGTTAGCATATCAACAGATTTACCGTGAGGACGACGAATGAAAGGTCAGAAGGAAAAAATGGACTTTTAATAATTTCTTATACAATTTAATTTGATTTTTTGGTGGAGTGTGAGAAACTGTGAAACGTTGGTCTATACGATACTTCCATACAATTATTGGTAGAAACGATCATTTATATAAAATATAAATAGATCATTTAATTATTCGTACCTTAGAAAATTTATTTTTATAAAAATTAATCTTTGCATTTCTTTATACAATTATGTTAAATGTATTTCTTTAATTTACGTATGTTTTACAGTAATTGTAAAACGTACGTAAATTAAAATTGTAAGGCTGTGTATTTTTACACATTCAACAAACATTTTTACATTAGTTATTTAGGTATCTAGAGATTGAATGTAATGAATATGTTAAATTTGAATTCAATAATTATTTTAAACGAAAAACGATTCTGAGCGAAAACGATCTGTCAGTCATACATATTGTTAAGTCAGCTGTATGATATTATTGCGATTAAAACAATTTATTTTACTATTATTAATTAGTATTTAATTAATTTATATAAATAACGTTTTATTGCATTTAAAAGTTTTTAGACCGAGCGAAAAATACTAAAAAGATTGCTTGAGCACTATCATTTTGAGGAGTATTGAATAATATGTGAGATTAATCTTGGACAATTATTTATTTTATCAAACAAAGCAGTTGCTTACTTAGTTTTACGAAATCTATTCAAGCTCAAATTCAATTGAAATTATTAAAGGATAATAATACTAACCGTTTGATTTATCACTGTTTCAACTTAAAATTTTAATTTTTTAAATTTAAATCTGAATAACTATTTAGATATTAAAAGTGAATAAAACTATGTATAGATATAAGTTATACTAATTTCATTATTGCAATATAAAAAGTATAATTGCTTGCTTACAAAAAAAAAAAAACAAACTAGTCAAGATTAATATTTGATATATAAACTTATTTTTAATGATATTGTGATAATATGCCAACTTATTATAACCTTATGTTCAATGGTTATATTTATTGACTTCAAATAAAAAAACTCGGCATCAGTTATAGTTATGGAAGTTTATTGTTTATAATCAATAAACTATGTGTCAAAAAAATCAACTCGAACTGAATACGTGGTATCTACATAAACAATTGTTCATGCCTAGTAATGCAATATACATATTTCATAATTCATGGGAAATTAAATTAATTAATTTGATATTAATTTTCAAAAGTATATTTAATTTGAGTAGTACCAACAAAGTATAAACACTATACGTCATAATATATAACTTGACGTTTGAGTGCTTATATCATTTACAATGTTTATAGTCAATATAAGATATTGTGTCAAACAAATCTACTCACCCCCAATAGGCACTTGGTATCCACATAAACGATTTTTCATACGTAATTTTAGAGTATACATTTATAATTCATAGGACAATTAAGTAATTCCATTATGAATCATACATTAAAAAAAAAAGTAGTTTTATGTCTGTCGATATCAATAGACAATAACGTATAGAAACTAGAAAAATATTAAGCGCTAACGGTCGGCCTTAATAATGTTCGAAATTCGTAAATAAATAAGTGTAAATTAAAAGATGATTATGAATGTACGATCATTGTTACATTTTTATAATCGGTGTTTTTTGATCTGTGGTTTGGGTAGTATAAGCTACAATCAAGGAAAGCTTAAGTTGACGACGATGTTTTACATCTTACGATGTACTATAATTTGTAGTAAATTCAGGACAATTTTCATTGGAATTATGATATGGGTAAATATTATAATATTTAAATTAATATAAATACTTTCATACGTCATAAAATTCTAAGTATATTTGGAACATTTTAATATTTATGATTGAGCTAGCTACATCGGTTACTGACTTCCAGAGTTCCTACAATCATACTAATATCAGTAATATCTAGATAATACAATATCTTTATAGTCTTAAACTAGCCATTATTCTTTAATGAACACTAGGTATATATACTTCTAAATGTATATAACTAAATTTACGTGTGAATTAAAAATCTTACCTATCAGGTGAATCGTATTGCTTTATTATGGTATTTTTGGAGTGTACTGTGTCATTAGGCAGCACAGTATTGAATGTGTTAAATTTGAATGCAATAATGAATCATTGACTACGAAAAACAATTCTGTACGGAGAGGATGTGTCAATCTCCTTATCTTTAAGTATATTCCATCATTTATAAATACTTTTGTTTATAATTTATTTTTTTATTAGCAATATGTTTGAATTGTTGTTGACATTTTTTCATATAATTTATCATTATAATATATGTATTATGTATATTGCAAAAATTATCTTACAAGTCTATACTAAATAGAATATAACCGTGGTTAATAATAGCTTAATTGTAGCCTAAATATTTTTAAAAAATCCATTGAGTCAAAGTAATAATAATAACATAGGTATGTTTTGGTTAATGGTGAAAAGTTTCAAATTTTTTTTTTTTGAATTTCAACATTAAAACAAAAACTATTGTAGGAAATGCCTTATTTTTCATTTGAATTGGTACTCAATACTCATGTTTGTTGAATCAAACTGAGAACGTTAGATCTTAGATGCCTATACGAAAATGTATCAATTTAATTTCGATATTTTTAAAACGGTTTAAAACTAACTTATGCAAGTCCATTTTTTGAGTTTTAACTACCTAAGTACAATGTAACTTATACATTTTCGTGGTCTGTTTATGTTGTAGTTATGAGAAACCTTATGTAGTAAGTAGTAACAAGGAATTATTTTTGTATTTTTCCCACAACTAGAAAACCCATATAATAGTGCTTAGTAATTACAAATGACTTTTTTTTTTTTTACCCTAAATTACTAAATTCAATTATTAGTCAAGATACTTGGAAGAATGTCATAACACCGACCTTTGTTTTGGGCTTAGCTATAAACTTTTTGGTATTATTATTAACTTGTTTTTTTTTACTCACAAACAAATATTGTATCTATGGAATTTATTATTTTAACATGAAATCATAATATATTTATTGATATTGCTATTGTCTTGAAAGTCAATACTGAAAAATAAAGTTAATAATAGTTTAAATCCAGACTAAATATTTTTGTGTGAACAAAATAATAATAAACGTAGTTAAATGCAAAACGTTTCAAGTCCATATTTTGGTTACACTTCTTTGTATTATTTTAACTAGTTTTTTACTTACAAACAAAAATTGTATGGTGTACAAATCGTAAATCGCGAAATTAAAATATAGATGTTTAGATTAAAAATAATTAATATATTTTGAATAGTATTAATATGACTACCCTCTAGGCCTACTGGCCTCTAGATCCTGTAGGATAGCAGGCTCTTGTACTACTGGGTCCTTCATCAATAAGCACCAAGTGTTCATTAAATTATTGCATTTCTAAAATCTTTATTATTCTCAACAGTGATTTCTGAAGCTCTTGCTATATATGTTTTCACAGGCTAAATATATGGGTTTTAAATGTATACAATTTAATATGTGTCAAGTTCAAATATTAAATTATATTTTACAGCCAAAGTTGCTTCATCCGTCCATATTTGAGATTAATACAATAATAATAATTTGTTGTTATGAAATAAAGTACATTTCAAAAGTATTACCCAATGTGTGGCGTTTATTTTTCGATAATCGACTATCAGCAGTATTGACTAAGCTCGAAGCAACGCACGAAAAACTAGTACATCTGAATGTGATTAGGCCAATGCAAATAAAAATGAATTGGTTCTTCATAACAGGAACTATTGTTCATTTAGTAGCAAGTAATGCACCTTTTATAAAATGGATTATATTGAGGTACATCAGGAGTGATCTCTCAGACATACAAGATTTGGTAATAATCTACATAATCTATCCTGTAATATATTTAACACATTTAGTAGAAATTGATCATTTTAAGATCGTATTATTTAAATGTTTTTCAGATCTTTGAGTTGTTTTCAAATACGTGCGAATGCATTGCACTCTATGAATACATACTACTGATTCTATACTTGCGGTGGATGGTGTACATCATAAATGGACAAATCCCGAAAAAACATTCAACCATAAGTACCTTCAGAGATATGTATTTGGAACTTATAGAATGCTTGAACGATATCAATAAATCAATATACGGTGTGTCGATTTTATTGAGTTTTATTGGGGCAAACGTCAGTCAAGTGTTGCTTATATTGTACTATCACGTATTTTTTCCTGATTCCTGGAAAATAAGTGGTGTAACACTAATGACAATAATATCAACAAGACTATTTAATATTATACTATTATATGGAATTGGTGATGCCACAGAAAAAGAGGTTTTTATACTATTTTTTATAATTACATTTAAATAAATATGTCTACTCGTTTTCAACACTAGTATATTCAGCCCATAAATTAATACATAGCTAACCCAGACCATGACTCTTGCCTGAGAAAAGCCGTCATATCTTATCTAACATCAGTTTTTGGTTTTGTTATATAATATTATTGTAGTTACCTATCTAAGCTTTGGCATATCTATATCTCGAATTCAAGTTTGTTATTTTTATTAATTACAATGTATAAATAAGAGAGTAATAGTAAATTAATACTTAAAGAATATTTTTGGTAAAATATTAGTGCTTAAGACATAATAATATCACCAAGATATAGGTACATCTAGTGTAAACATGTAGGTACATCATGAATTAAACAGTACATACATAATTTATTGATTTTGCAAAGTTATTAACATAGTACGCATTAATTAAACTAAAAAATTTTTTTTTTGGATTACAGATAAATCGAATGACTCTCGTCTTAAACCAACGGTCCATGATAGAAAGAAACCCAAGAATAAAACGTCAGGTATAAAATAAGTACCTATTTATTAAAATAGTAATATTATAATAACTGCTTCTATTCAAGAATTTATTAACATGGTATAACTGTTTTCTTCTTCTTATTATTATTATTTAGATAAAGTTTTTTATCCTACGAAGATTGCACGAACACTTTCATTTTAAGGTGTATGGAGTATGTGGACTTAATCTAAGAGAATTACTTATTTTATTTAATAGAGCAATTGGTTACTTAGTAATGCAAATTTTATTGAAATTGAATAAAAATTAAGAACAGATAATTAATGTGTTGATAATTATTATTTTAAGTATTATTAGTATTTATTGTTTTAACTTAATACTTTATTTTTTGATATTTAATTTTGAATAACTATTTAGATATTAAAAGCAAATAAAAATATTCATACTTATAAATTATGTTAGAAATTAGAATGTAAAAACCTAAAAACTATATATTTTTTTTTTTAATTGATCCTGAGCCCGGCAACTGTGGCCATTAGCTATTAGTAGGTACTGTAGGTTTTTGTATTGATGGTTTGTATGTTTTTGGTACGGTAGGGGGGAACACGTGTGTGTTTGTTTTGGCAGAATTTCGAATGGGGCACCCGTAGGTTTCTGCCATGCCCCGGGGGTGGGGGATGGCAGCACTTGCTCTCTGGTCACTGCGACTTTTCCGGAGAAAAATGCCGCCCGGTGGCCGAGGATCGAACCGCTACCGGCTGAGTCGCAGTGGAAGAGTCAGACCACTCGGTCACCTCGTCCCCCTTAAAAAAAAAAAAAAAAAACTATAGGTAATTAAGTTGTTCAACATTTTTTAGTTTGATATATAATTTTGAGTAAGTTCGTAATCGGCAGCGTTGGTAGTAGCATCTGAACAGAGTGTAGACATCAACTGGAAAACTGTGTTACAGTTATTGACTCTCCACAGCCATTGTGTAGTTGTTTTGCCTATCTATATCGCCGTGTGATCAAAACTTTTCTATTCTAACTTATCTATCATATATCATCTACATCTTCAGTTCTTGTTTTCTGTATACAGACAATACTTTTCTTATCGAGAGTCTAGTTTTTAATATCTACGATAGTAAACAGTCGATGCAGCCAGCATAAGCAGGTAATTATGTGAATACCGTAGGTAGTAGGTACGTGTACAAGCGAGGGCAGCTCGAAATAGGGTGTCCCTCAGTCAGGCACAGAGAGGTGCCGCTATTCGGGTTGCGAGGTGCTACAGGACCGTGTCTGATATGGCGGCTCTGGTCTTGGCTAGAATGCCTCCAGCCCACCTGCTGGCTGATGAGCGACGCAGAATCGAGGAGCGCAAGCAGGAGCCCACAACGGTGGCGGTTGTAAGGAGGCAGGAGCGCGAGGCAACGCTGCGCGAATGGCAGGTAATCTGGGACGACACGGAGAAGGCGGCGTGGACGATGAGGATGATCCCAGACATCAGGAGGTGGATGTATCAGTCAAATCAGGAAGCCATTACTTTTCACATGGCTCAGGCTTTGACGGGTCATGGATGCTTCCAGCATTACCTGTGGAGGAGGAGAAGAGCAGGTGACCCCCACTGCATGCACTGTGGTGAGCCGGACGACACTGTGGAGCACACCTTGTTTAATTGCCCGTTCTGGGCAGAAGACAGACGGGAGATGGAGCAATGCATCGGCCGGCCACTACAACCTAATGATGTGCCGGATATCATCCTGGGACCGGAACAGGAGCTCCTCCCAGATGATGCATCCAGGAGGCGGCGTATCGAGGCGATGGCGGAGGGTCTGAGGTTGGCATTTGGCAGAATGGTGGAGGCGATTCTCGGGCGGAAGGAGGATGCAGAGCGGGTTAGGCAGGCGCGTTTTTTATTTGTGGGCCGAAGGCCGAATTCCTAGGGTGGTTAGAGGCCCCCATGTATGTATACTTTTTTGCTTGTTTGTGATGTTGTTTGGTGAATAAACGATACGGGTTCGGGTGGCAGTATTGTGCTAAACAGTTCCCACCCGTTCCCGGTTTCAGAAGGAAAAAAAAAAAAAAA